CACCTTTGCCCTGCCCCCCAGCTCTTAGCTCCCCCCTGGGTTTCTGATCACTGTCAGTGGCAGGGGGCTTCTTCCTGCTTTCCCTTTCGCCTCCCTGCATTGTGCCTACATATGCAAATTAACCACCATCTTGTTGGCAGTTAACTGCCAATCTTTGTTGGCAGTTAATTTGCATATAGCCCTGATTAGCCAATGAAAAGGGTAGCGTCGTACGCCAATTACTGTTTTTCTCTTTTATTAGTGTAGATATTACATATGTCTTCTTTCCCCCCCATTGACCTCTTCAATTATTATTATTTTTTTAATTAAAATGATGTAAAAAATCTTTGATCAGGCAAGCCCTGTGGACTTTAACTGTCCACCATTTTTGTAGACTAGCCATATTTTGTATGCCCGAGATGAATTGTTCTAACATTTTAAAAATGAAGGGATTGACATTCCTGGCAGTCATATGATGTAGCTGATAACCCAGGGAGTGAAAAAAAAAAAGCAAAGCAGGGCATGGTATTGGCATAAAGTACTATATTTAAAGCTGTTAATTTTGGCTCTACTTTTAAGTATCAGTGGGAAAATCTAACATTTGCTACACTGAGGAGGGTCTAGCAACTAGTAGGGAAGGAATTATCATACTCAAGATTTTAAGAGGCTATTTTAAATAACACAGTTAAAACTCGTTATAATGTATTACCTGGCAATATCTTTAAATAGTATAGAATACATAGTCAGTTAAACATTTCTTAAAAATGTAGCTTTTTATGACTCTTAAGTGTTTTTCTTTTCATATATATGAATTTATGGTACTATATAGCTGGAAGGTATGTTTAGATGTTATAAAGGCCTATGTTTTCAGACGTTTTTGATTTAGCTGCTTTTGTACTAGGTTAGAGCAATGCAAAGCAAGCACAGTTTTCTAGAAGCAAAGAGGTGGTCAGATATAACATTTATAGATTTTATCATGTATACATTTTACCCACCTTTCTGTTTAACTATAAAGCAGCTCATAGTTGCTGTTTCAAATATATGGGTATACATGAAAAGAGTTCTTAAATTTTCAGCACTATAGGATACATTTGGCACACAGTTGAAACAATTCTATTGCATGGAGCTCATTTTGTCTGGATCTCTGCCTCACTGTTTGACACTTTTATTCTAAAGAACTTACCTCATTTCTGACTGTTCTAAACTGATCCTTATGTTACATATCAATTTCCTTTATAAAGGTAGTTCTCCTATTTTATTTTTGTTCTCTGTGACATCAGGATTATAGATTAGTTTATTACTAGTTTTCACTTCTAAGCTGTCTATTTATAGTAAACTGGTAAGCCTGGTTGGATGAATTTAGACAGTTTCTGCTTTCACCCATGAGCAGATAGATGCTGGATTCTAGAGTCTGTACACACCCCAACCCCATACCACTATTTCCCAACAAAGAAAGAATACTTTTCTTAAAATACACTAAAAAATCTAGCTGTAAGAATAGAAGACTTTAAAAAGCGAGACTTTTTTCCTCATTGTGGGGAATTTGGAAAATATAGAAAGGTACAAAGAAAATTAAAAACTTAGAATTTTTATTATCCAGAGAAATGTGTTGACATTTAAGTGTATATGTTGCGGTCCATTCTTTTTTCTATTCATTTCTTTGTATAAGTGTGTTTGTGTGTGTGTGTGTGTGTGTGTGTGTGTGTGTGTGTGTGTGTGTATTTAATTTGAGAGCTAATATAATCAGTTTTTCTCTTTTTTTATATAATATTCTTTTTCTATTCCATTAAATGTATTTTGATATCCCTTCCACTCTGCTTAATGGCTACACAGTGTTTTAGGTTGCTTACAATTTTTTGTGTTCATTATCAATCCTGTGATGAACATTATACATATATTATTATGTGAAGGCCTTACTTTCTTTGTATAATATCCTAGAAAGCAAGTTCATGCTTCCAAAGTGCATTCTATAAATGTCAAGTTTTTCCTTTTATTGGAATAAGCAATTAAATGGAAGGCATGACAGTTTTGCAGTTATTTAAGTCATATGTTAATAGAGTCAAATATTTACTTACATATGTATACATCGAGAGGACTAAGATATGTAAGGTTTTTTGTGGGTTGGTTGAAGAATTATGCATATTTTATGGAGATGATTGGATCCTTCATAAAAGAAACATTTGTGAAGCTGTGAGTTCATGATTTTATGCTCATGGGTGAACTCATTATCTTGACTCTGAGGACATTATTAAAAGCCATGACAATAGCAAAACTTGATTTTGATACACTTTTTTTTTTCTTTCCTCACCCAAGGACATGTTTTCATTGATTTTTTAGAGAGGAAGGGAAAAATAGAAATATCCAAGAGAGAGAAACATCAATAGGCTGTCTCCTCCATGCCCCTATTGGGGATTTAACCCACAACCCAGGCATCAATCCTGA